TGAGGGGCTGCATCCCACGTGCCCCATCCTCCCGCTGTGCCCCTCTCCCCTGCGCAGGTTCGGGGCCGTGGAGGGCAGTGCTGGGGCTCTGCGGCTCTACACGGTGCAGGTGCCCCACAAGCGGGAACGCCGCCCCCCGCCCTGCTACCTGACCAAGTGGGATGGGAAAAGCTTCCTGCCGCTGCTGACGCGGCCCTGCGGCTCCGAGGTTGTCTCCTGCCTCTCCATCAGGTAGCCCAGGGCCAGTGGGTACGGGGTGGGGGCCGTGGCAATCCCCCCACTCACTACCCTCCCCCCACAGTGATTCAGGCACCTTCCTGGGGCTGGGCACAGTCACCGGCTCCGTGGCCATCCACATTGCCTTCTCACTGCAGGTGAGCTGGGGCAGGGCTGTGGGGCAGCCCCGCTGGCCCCCGAGCAGCCCTCACCCCCTGTGTCCCCCCAGAGGCTGTACTACGTGAAGGAGGCCCACGGCATCGTGGTGACGGATGTGGCCTTCGTCCCCGAGAGCCGACCCGGCCGGGAGCTGCTGGGGGGCCACGAGGCCGCCCTGCTCAGCGTGGCCGTGGACAGCCGCTGCAAACTGCACCTGCTGCCCACCCGCCGTACGTCCGGGGGGCTGCCCGTGGGGCTGAGCTCTGCTCCTCCTCTGCACCGGGGAGCTGCAGCCTCCTCTCACCCGTCCCTGTCCCACAGGCTCCCTCCCCATCTGGCTGCTGCTGCTGCTCTGTGCCGGGCTCATCGTGGCCACCATCCTGCTGCTGCAGCTCGCCTTCCCAGGCTTCCTGTAGCCCCCGGAGGGACCCCCTGGCACCAGGAGCGACCCCCCAGCCTCCACCTACCCCAGACAGACTGTGAAGGACACGAGGGACCAGCCCTGGCCCCGCTGTCCCCGCTGGCGCTCGGGGAGCAGATGCGGGTCCAGGGAGCCACGCAGGGCGCCGTCCCTGCGGGACTGTGCTGGCAGCAGTGCGGGGCTGGCCCCGGGACAGGGGCGTCTCCACCCCAGGAGAGGAGGGTCCTGCTGCCCCCCGCCCTGCTGCTGCCATTAAACTGGAGCATGAAGGCAGCGTTGTCCGCGTGTGCTGGGGGAACGGGGCTGAGGGCATCGCACTCCGGGCCGGGCTGTGCCCTCGGGGCCGGGCTGTGCCCTCGGGGCCGCTCCGTAGCCCCGGGGCTGGCTGCCCGAGCCCGCGGGGCCCGGAGTACGGGCGCGGGCCGCTGCTGCTGCGGGGGCCCGGGGGTCGGTGATGCTGGGCTGGCCCGGCTCTGCCCGGGACCGTGCGGGGTTCAGGGGGGTCTCGCCCACCGGCGTGGCCCCGTCCCTGGTGTGACCACGCGCCCGTCCCGGGCCCCCGTTTGGAGGGGCCGGGTCCCGGTTAGTCCCGGCGCTGCCCCGGGACACCCTGCGTGCGGCCGAATCCCTGCACCCCGCGGGCCGGGTAGGGCCGAGCCGGGCCGGGCGGGGCCGCTCCCGGCCGCGGTGGCAGGGCCGGGACGTGTCGGCGACGTGGCCCCGGGGCGGGGCGGGCGGCACCGACACGCGGACGGGGCTGGGTGAGTGGGTACCGGGGAGCACCGGCGGTACCGGGTTGGGCGTGTGCGGGGTGAGTGGGTACCGGGGGCTGCACTGGGTGCGCAGCGCCGGCCGCTCCCACGCGCTCTGCGTGCCCCGCGCAGCCCCGCGCACCTTCCCCGCCGTGCTGGAACCGGAGCAGCTCCCGGAGCCCCGGCGCCTCTCCCAGCGCCCTCCCACGGGCCCTCCCACCGATCCCCGGCAGGGCCAGCCCCGATCCCGGTGTTCTCGTCCCGCCGCAGCCCGAGGTCGCGGGATGGGGAACGCGGCGGCGATGCTGCTGCTGCTGCTGCTGCTGCTGGGGCCGGCGGCCTGGGCCGCCCCCAGGGCGGGCACCAACAGGTACGGGGGCACAGGTAAGGGAAGGCAGAGCTGTGGTGTTTTCATGGCTACAGGGGCACAGGTGCGGGTGGAGTACAAGGGGGCCATGGGAGGGGCAAGCACAGGGGTCCGAGCTGACAGTGAGGGCCGGGACCCATGGATGTGCAGGGGCCGTGGGTGGGGGGCGTCAGGCCGGAGTGGGCAGCCCCCGGGGGCACAGGTAACCCACCCCGTCTGTTGGCCAGGCCTGAGCCCCCCGTGGCCACAGCTGTGGATCCGTATCCCGACCCACTGAGCCCAGAGTCGCCTGCACTGCTGTGAGTCCCTGCCCTGGGGAGCCCCACGGCCCCGGGACCCCCACCACGGCCCGGGGCTGCGCACTGGGGCTGGGGGGCACAGCGCCGGGTGGGGGCACGGACAGTGCCCGCCTGGCCATGGGGCAGGGTGGGCCATGGCCAGGAGGCAGGTGCAGTGCCCCCCACCCCAGCCCTGCTCCCCCCAGGCTGCTGTGGAGCGCGGTGCGGAGCCTGGGGCCGCCGGAGCAGGACGTGGAGGCCATGACACGGGAGCAGGGTAAGGCCACCGGGGCGGTGACGGGGGCTGAGGGGCTGGTGGGGCCAGGGACCCCGGCCCCACAGCACCCCGTGCCCCACAGCCCTGCTCTACCTCTTTGTGCTCCATGACCACGACCAGAGCAGGCGCCTGGATGGGCTGGAGCTGCTGCAGTTACTTGGCACAGTGCTGGCACAGGCTGGGGGGCAGCCAGACCCTGACATGGTGGGTCACACAGGGATGGCTCCTCATGCCCCACTGGGCCCCTGGGCCGAGCCCTCATCCTGTTCCCCATCCCCATAGGTGGCTGCACTGGTGGACCAAGCCCTGGCAAGGCAGGACCTGAATGGGGATGGGCTGCTGGCCCCCTCCGAGCTGCTGGACCCCCCTGAGGTGCTCTTGCTTGGTCAGGACAAAGGTCCCCCAGGACAGCCCCCACTAGAGCAGCAGGCAGGGCTTGGGGCTGTGCCTGGAGGGGGCACAGAGATGCCCAGGCAGGACCTGGGGTTGGAAAGCCCAGGACAGGCAGCCACTGAGGCTGGAGACCCCCAGACTGGAGCCCCTGAGGAAGGAGCCCCCAGGATGGAATCCCTCGAGGTGGAATCTCCCAATGCTGAGACCTTGGAGGCAGAAATCGTCCCTGGGGCCAAAGCCCCCAGTACTGATGCCACAGAGGAAGATGAAACCCCTGAGGCTGAAGCCTCTGAGGAACAGGCAGCCCCAGCCTGGAGGGACCATGGGGAGGGGTAGGCAGTGGGAGCTGTGGGATGCAATGCTGCGGCTGCTCCCTGCCCTGCTCAGGGCACACACTGGCACGGAGATGGCCCCTGGCCAGGCTGCTGGGGCCCAGAAGGGCTGGGGTTGTGTTGTCTCCTCTGCAATGCATCACATGGAGAAATAGAGGCACTGCTGGTGACCTTGGCTGTAGTCAGTGCATCCCTGGGGCAGTGGGACCCCAGCCAGGGGACACAGGAGGCAGTAGTGGTGCACGTGGGGTTTTACTGGGGAGTTGCTGGGTGCACTGGAGATGTGGAGAAGTCGCTGGGTGCAGTGGTGTGCCTGAGGGGTGCAGAGGTCTCCGGCCACACGCTCAGACAATGCCATCAAAGCCCTGGATCCCACATTTCCTGCCTGCGATCCGGCAGCCGAAGGTGAGGGCATCCTGCAGGGTTCTCCCTGGGGATGGGGCCCAGGATGAGACGTGGCCGTGCTGTGGCTGTGCCGTGGCCGTGCCAAACTGAACCGTGGCCGTGTTGTGGCCGTGGCGTGTTTGTGCCCACCTTCTGCGAGCGCAAAGATGACGGCGGCATTGAAGGTGTCCCCAGCCCCCAGCGTGTCCACGAGGGTCTCTGGGGGGAAGGCGTCCGAGTGCACCAGCTCCCCACCGGGCCCCAAGGCATCAGCCCCCTCCTCAGCCCAGGCGCAGATCAGCGTGGCCCTGGGAGAGCATGAGGTGGGTTTGGGCACACTGTGTGCCCCCCGGCCCCCCTCAGGTACACCCCTACCCTGGCTGGATGCGCCCCCGCAGCCCCCGCAGCGCCTCGGGGGCCGATTGGTACCCGAAGTGCCGGGCCAGGTCCTTGCTGATGAAAACCTGTGGGACAGGGGCTGGGGCGGGGGCAGCCCCCAATACCCCCAGCCAGGTGTGATTAGATCTGTGCCCTGGTGGCACCCTCAGACCCCGCTTGCACCCCTAGAGCCAAACCCCCCACCCCTGCACCCCCCAAGCCTGACTCCCCCGGACTGGGACTCCCAACTCCTGC